CTTGGCGGCCTGGCCCTGGCACGACCTGGCGGCCTGGCCCAAGCGTGACCTGGTAGCCTGGCCCTGGTGCGACCTGGCGGCCTGGCACAGGCACCAACCTGGAGGCTTGGCACAGGCGCCAACCTAGCGACTTGGCACAGGTGCCGACCTGGCGACCTACGAGATGTGCTCGCCGACAAATTTGACATGCATATCCTAACACTCTCACGATCCTTGGAAGTTGGCCCACATGCCGAATGATCCGGAGGGTGGTCAACGTGCATGGCGGTTGCCTTAGGGAATCTCGGACTACTTAGACAACTTCTCAAAAATCTCGGATGCGGTGCGTGAAGCCCACGCCAAACAATGCCTATATAAAGGCACCAACACCAATGGCATAGGGGGGCAAGTAAGCATATTCTAGCTCTCATACTTTGTGATTTTGAGCTCGCAGTCTACTATGAGAGTACTGATTTAAGCATCGGAGCGACCTCACCGGGTTAGACACCCCGGGTCCTCTGACATTGATTCCTTGTAGGTCTCTAAAGAAGTACGAAGCTCAACAATCAATCCAGCTCGCCACCAGGAGCTCGGCCCTCTGGTCAACTCAGCAACTAATAGGCAGCTCGACACTCTGGTTAGCTCGTCACCTAACCTGCATAGCTCGGCCCAGTCAGGTCGTCACCTAACCTGCCTAGCTCGGCCCAGTCAGTTTGGCACCTAACCTGCCCAACTCGGCACTTAATCTGCCCCCAGCTCAGCCTGGTCAGCTCGGCATCTAGGTCCTCATCCAGTAAAAGTTCACTTCGGCCTCTGAGTCATCGGCCACTTGAAAGCAGACCAAATGACGAGGTACTTAGCACAAAAAGTTGATACATCACCAAAAATTGATCCATCAGTGACCAACACCACCGTTGTCACTATCCCTGCCTACTTTCATGATCAATGTCTATGTAGTGGTTGCGAATTCACAATTCTTCCCCATTTCGTTGGCATGAACCACATCCTTCCTCTACCAATGACCATCATAATGAAGATGGCAAGGATGAAGGGTGATAGGAACTGCCATCGCCGGAGGTGGAATTAGTTATTAACTTTTCTATTATCAGCAAATAGGAGCCGCCACGTTCATCCTGAAGAGATATGACAGCACCATTGCTACTAGTGATGGGACGAACAAATTTCCTAGAGGGTTCACTTTTTGTCAAAAGATAAAAACGGATGAAGTGAAGAGGGGTGGAAATGTCCATCAGAAGCAAAAGTGGGAGGAACACAAGATTCCGTTGCTGCCAATGAACAAGGTCCACATCGACGATCGGCTAGACAGTGATGAGCAACAAGATCAGCTTCAGTCAGTGCAAGGTCCGTTCAAACAACCTTTTCAGCCTTGCATTGGGAATATCTCCGTACCTATGCACCTTATTTCGATATTCCCAATGCAAGGCCCTAAAGGCTATTTGAACGGGCCTTACACTGGTTGAAGCCGTAGAGACCGAGAAGTCTTGTCGGTTCATCTCACA